GTATGGCTGTTTTTTAATATCTGATGGTTCCCATCATACATTTATATTTATTAATGATAATTGTGATGTTCTCTCATCATTGATATTTCTGTCACCATTAATTTTAGCATAGTCGTGGTTTCTGATTTGTCCAATTCCATTCCAAAGCACACAATATTGTTATTCATAAGTAATGGTACATGATGATATTTATCTGTTCTTACTGGATGCTTGAGTGATCGTTGACAGGGGATCAACTGGCTATCGGTAAAGAAACTGGACGTCGATTGGGAATGGGAACAAATATGTATCCTTCATCTGCTTTGCTGGGTCAGAATAAGGATGAGTCCATTGCTGCTTTACCAATTGATGAACTTATAGAGAAAGCTGATGGATTTGCTGGTGTTTTTCCTGGTATGTCTTTTTCTGTTATCTTGTCTACAAATGTCAGTGCACATTTCAGTATCTCCACTGATCTATTTGTCTTCTTTATCAGAGCACAAATATGAGATAGTGAAGCGTTTACAAGCAAGAAAACACATCTGTGGAATGACTGGTGATGGTGTCAACGATGCCCCGGCTTTGAAAAAGGCTGATATAGGGATAGCTGTGGCAGATGCCACTGATGCAGCGCGTAGTGCTTCTGATATTGTTCTTACTGAGCCTGGTCTCAGTGTCATCATCAGCGCTGTTTTGACCAGTCGAGCAATCTTCCAAAGAATGAAAAACTATACGGTAATTTCTTCCAAAGAATGAACTTGATCTGAGTTTGAATTTGACTTGATCCGAGTGGAGCTTTGATTGAGCTGCCCACAATCGGCTTGACTTGTTTGCTCCCTTAGTTCACTCACATGCATTTATTTGTCATTTGCTTTGCATTAAACATATTCCCATTTGAAGTTCTCTTTTTCTTCTTGATTTTCCACTAGTACTCAATGTTTGAGCCTAGCAGGTTGTTCATTTTATTTTTCTTGTTTCTTGCAGATTTATGCGGTTTCTATCACAATCCGTATAGTGGTATGTAGTATTGAGAAATCTTTTCCTCTTTTATACTCTCCCTCCTTCCCTTATAAAGAGTCATGTTTGACCAATTTAAGTGTTCTGTTTGTGCTAAAGTACATAAGTCATGAATACTAATCCTTCCGTTTGACTTTTGCGCTAGACAACACACGACTTTGATTATTATTATATTTAAATGGCTATCAGAAAAAATATTTTAATAGTTCACATTGAGACAAGTAAAAAATATTAACACGACTTTATCGCTTTTCATCTTATCACTTACTCCTATATCTTATGTTATATTTATCTCTATCTTATCTTTTTTTAATCCTTTTCTATCTTACCTTATCTTGTTATCTTTCTTATCTTTCTTCCGATTTTATGTGTCGATTCATGTTAGCCGACCCCAAACTCTTTTGGGACTAAGGCTTGGATGCTGTTGTTGTATTAACCAATAGAATATAGTCAAAGTAGAGTTTGTGAATAGTGTAAAATTCAACATGTTGCAATTAATAAAGAATGGATGTAGTACTTATATATCAGAAACATTTAATGGTTTACCTAAGTTCATCATATTAAACCTGGAAGTTATTCAAAGTATACATTTTCTGTAAAGAAGTATCCTTATTTGTTTAAACAAGACTCTTTTGGGGCAAAAAAGATTTAAACACAGGACTCTTGTTGTGGGACCGAGGCAGTACTTCTTAATATCTCATATTGTGACGGTTTACCTTAACAACTTGATGTAACAGCTTGGCTTCATGCTGCTTGCTCTGATCTGGGAGTTCGATTTTCCACCTTTCATGGTGCTGATCATTGCAATTCTAAATGATGGTTAGATCTCCGTCACTTTGTTTATCTGGTTAATACAAATAGATGTAGCAGTACAAATAAATTACCGGGTGCTAGATAGGTGTCCGTGTTTGTGATAATAATCAATGAGATGGAACATGATCATGTAGTAGCCAAATAATAAATCTAGATAATATTGTTTTTAAAAGGTAATCGGTAGTAAAGTCTTTCTATCATTAATATTTTTGACGGGAATTGTAGGTACTATTGATTTTACATCCCTTCAATGATATCTTTGTGATGTATTTTTTTTATCTAACTGTTGCATCGAATCGCTTAGGTACTATAATGACTATTTCGAAAGATAGGGTGAAGCCATCTCCTCTTCCTGACAGTTGGAAACTGGCTGAGATCTTTGCGACTGGCATTATTCTTGGTGGTTACTTGGCAATGATGACAGTCATATTCTTCTGGGCAGCATACAAAACTGACTTCTTCCCGGTAAGTAAATCTATATCTAGACATCCAAGGTTCTTAAGCTTTTTACAAGTGCAGGCACTATGCTTGGCACATGGAGCTGAAAGCTGCATGATAAAATGTGTATAAATTTTAAGTGTTCGGTTTAGTTGCCAACTCATAACATATCAATTATAAAAAAGACAATTATAGAACAAGGTTTTAATGAGAAGAGGGTCTAAGATGTTATTTTAAAAAACAATTGGGTTGTTAGTGGAAACTTTAATGAAGTGCTATAGTAGATAACATTTGAAGTATGCCCATTTTTTGTTGTGATCCATTATATTTTTTACTAAATGGAATGTATTTCTTGTTAATAGCTTAAACTAATTCTATGATCCAAAATAAGATTTTAACAAACAGAACAAGCCCTAATTTACTTTTAGTGTTTACTAGATCTTTCAGTCATTATGATTTGCTTGAGTTTGAATCTAATAATCCCATATACTCACTTTTTGATATGCATAGTTGCATACTTTGTCCTTCTGTTATAAAGTCAATACTGGCAACAACTCTTGGCTGGAACGGTGCTATTGAAGTTTGTCCACAGCTATATATTGAACTGATTTTCAAAAAAGAAAACAATAACATTTTTTTGTGTGTTAAAAAGACAGATTAATGTTTGAGTATCTTGACAAAATCCTGATTTTGGGTTAGTTGGCTGAGAATTGGCAAGCTATCAAGTGCTTTCTACGCTTTTCAAAAATTAAACGCATCTCCTCCCTCTTATTCTTTGTGAATTTATAAAGTAACTTATTAGTTACCGTGAGTTGGCAGAGAACATTTGGTGTAGCCACTCTAGAGAAAACGGCTCATGATGACTTCAGGAAGCTTGCATCTGCAATCTACCTTCAAGTGAGCACTATCAGCCAGGCCCTGATATTTGTCACACGATCTCGTAATTGGTCCTTTATTGAGCGCCCTGGTGTGTTGCTTGTGGTTGCTTTTATCATAGCTCAACTGGTAAGCTATTAACATTTCTGACTTCCTCTTCGATTATCAATGAAAGCATCATCACCATTCATACCCTAAAAGTTTATGTGTTTTTGCAAACTACAACAATAGGTTGCAACTCTCATTGCTGTATATGCCAACTGGAGTTTTGCTGCAATTGAAGGAATAGGATGGGGATGGGCTGGGGTTATATGGCTCTATAACCTTGTGTTCTATATACCGCTTGATTTCATAAAATGCATCACCCGCTATGCTCTTAGCGGGAAGGCCTGGGATTTGGTTCTTGAACAAAGGGTAAGCAGACCATATTGTTTTTTAGAAGCAAGAAGACCATACTGTAACACTAGAAAAATTATGAGTTTCTTCAAAATGTCTGTCATTTGAGTTATTCCACCTGTCCACCAAAGATTTGCCATTTTTACAGTAAAAACATTAATCTTTTACCAATTTATATTGTATACAAAAATGGTTTATAATGTGAAAGTAATGTAAAATGTCATTTGTTAAAAATAGGAGTACAATTTTTTTTCATAATCACTAAAATATTTAGATCAAAGCATTGTTAAAGATAAACATCTTTTACCAATGAGTCAAATACGACAATTCTTTCTGGTACGGAGGGAGTAGGGGGTGCAGAAGGTTTCGGTTCAGAACTGAGAACCCTAACCAGAACTGGAAAAAGGGGAACCACCAAACTGGAGGGAGACCGTCCCTGATTCCATATCTTGGGTGCCAAAACTGGTGGTTCTGGTTCCAATTTAAAATTTTTATATGAGGAGGACCAAACCAGTTATGGTTCGGTGGTTCCCCCTTTTCTGGACTAGCAGTTTGAGAACCGTAACTGGTCTGTTTCCAAGCCTAAGGTGGGAGTGAGGGAGTATATGTATATTGGTGTTTGATTTGGGAGTCTTCCCTTTGTTCTGCAGATCGCTTTCACCCGGAAGAAGGATTTCGGGAAAGAACAACGTGAACTGCAATGGGCCCACGCGCAGAGAACTCTGCACGGGCTCCAAGTTCCAGACACCAAATTGTTTAGCGAAGCAACCAATTTCAACGAGCTTAACCAGTTGGCCGAGGAAGCAAAGAGAAGGGCCGAAATCGCAAGGCTGCGGGAGCTACACACATTGAAGGGACACGTGGAATCGGTGGTGAAACTGAAAGGTCTTGACATAGAGACGATCCAGCAAGCTTATACTGTTTGAGTGGGGAGCATATAGAGAGACAGAGAGATAGACGGACGGGGAGCGGTTTAACTGGTGGTGCCTTGGGGTGTGTGATTAGAAGAATAATCATACCATCAGTTCTTTTTCCTTGAGAATGCCTGCCAAACTCGGCTATGTTTTGCTCTCTTAGTGCTTCTGCTGCATCTATTATTTTTATTATATGTTTTCAATTGCTTTCTCCCTCTTGGAACCATATACTTTGAACAGCATAACAGTGCTCTGAATAGGGAGTGGGAAGCATGACATTGTGCTGAAGTATATTTTTATTGTTAATATACATTCCTAAACTCCTGATTTTAGGCTATTCAGTTCGTTCAATTTATGCGTTTTTTCTTCTATGGTACGTTTATTTCTTTGATGTTTGAAATGCTCTAATTTACATAACGTATGCTTAGTATTTGGTGCATTATACTCATAGTCTCATATTTGAACCAAGCAATAATTGATTCTTTAGTTTACCTGCAAGGCTGCAATGATATTTTCTCCCCTCACGAAACATTATAAATTTATAATTTTTCAAACATGAAACTGTTTCGGGAAAGGCCCGTGAATCAAGAAAATCACAGTATAGTACTACTGATCAATTGAATAATAAATGAATGGTTCAAACAGCAGCTGCTATCCTTTGCAACCCAATTTCTTCACTACCATTAATATCACCTCTTTGCTCCAATTCTGTCATCAACCTTGATCGTGAATTCTCCATGGCTCTAGACTCCGTTACATCTTCCTTGCTGCTACTGGTAACATAACTGCTAGCCACTAAATTGTAATACAAGAAGTTCAGGCCTGCAATTGCAGCGATTATGTAGTAGTAGTACTCCAACCTGTTCTTGTTCAAATCATGCCCGCCCAGCCACGGACTTCTCCCCTTCCTCTTCGTCGCGCTGTGTATCACGTTCACCAAAATGGAACTCAGGTAGCTGGCGAACGACAGGCTCAGGAAAAAAACCGAACCCGCCAAGCTTCTCATGTTCTCCGGGATCTCAGTGGTGAAGAACTCCATTATGGCGACGGCAGCCAGTGCCTCTGTCAAGCCAGACAGCACAAACTGCGGCAGCAGCAACGCGAATGAGAGCGGTGACTCGAACGCGCGGTGTTTCAGGGCTGAAGCTCGCCGCTTCTGCTCCACCACCGCGGCCGAGAGCATGCAGAGTATGGACATGAAGATGCCGACCCGGATCCGTTGACTTGGGGTCAACCTGCATGCATGGTCGTCGTCCCCTGTTCTTCCCGAGATTTTCTTGAAGGTTACGACGTATACCCTCTCGTACACCAAAATCCAGATGCTTAGTGCTATCATGGAGGTGATTCCCATCCAGGCGGGCGGGACCTTGAAACGGGCCGACCCGAACAGGACTGATCGGTTCATTTGGATCGCCTGCAGTGTCCCGAATGAGGCCTGTTGGTCCATCACGAGGAAGCAGCCCAGACCCGAGACCCAAACCGGGATTATCCCGATCAAACACTTCAACTGCTCCACTTGCTGAACGCTGCACAACCTCCACGTGTTCCTGGGATTCCCATCTTCATCCAATTCACCATCCATGATAACCGCAGCCTTGTTCAGAAACAAGAACCGTCCAGTCGGTGGCAATTTTGTCGTCATTTCCGCTGCTCGAGGAGGCGGGTCATAATATGAATGACTTTCCTCCTCTGACAGCGTGCGGCTCGGCTGGCCCAGCCGCACGCGGCGTTTGAGGAAAGACGCCGTGACGACTTTGGCGAGGTCAACGAAGACGCTGCCCTGCGGTGGCTTGTTTATGTAAGTGTGGCGGCCGATCAAGAAAATGGATATGGAGCAGAGGAGGCAGGCGGTGGGGATGGCGAAGCCGATGGTCCAGCTGATCTCGGTCTGGATGTAGATGACGGCTGTGAGAGCGAGGAGAAGGGCGATGGTGAAGGAGAAGTACCACCAGTTGATGAAGCTCTCGAGCTGCGACCTGCCCTTGGCGGTGTCGGTGTCGAACTGGTCGGCGCCGAAGGCGATGTTGCAGGGGCGGATGCAGCCGGAGCCCAAGGAGAGGAGGGCGAGACCGGCGTAGAGGACGGCCAGCTGCCACCCGTGGGGTTGCACGCACGCATGGGAATGGTCGTCTTCGTCTTTGCATGGGGGCGGCCTTAGTTTTGATACACCTGCGGTCAAGGTCACAATTCCCATACCCTGTTGTGACACATGTACTACACCAATTTAAATCAAATGCAAAAGACAAAAAAGGAAAAAATTTATTAAATATGAGTAAAAAAGTTTTGAAATTCCAAAATAGAGTTTTTCATATTTTTATTACCTAAATAAGAGTAACATTTGTCAAGTTTGACATTATCAAACTTTTAAACATGACGGTTTTTGTCAAGGTTTTTCTAAATGCAAAAATGACTCAAAAAGTTTTTACTCCTATTCTGGACAATTTCTAAAAAAAACTTGTCATATTCTGAGTTTAAGCAAAAACTGATTTTGGGATTTTTTGAAATGAGAATAATTCTTAAATATTTAAAACTCTCTTAAATTTCTATAGTACTTCCATCCCAAATTGTTTTATGTTTTGGTCAACCAATGTTAAAAAGTCAAATCATCCTTGATGCTTGGTTTACTTTAGCAAACCTTATTATGCACCTAAATGTAAGGTTTAAAAAAATAATTAATTAAGTAACGTGAAATATGCAATTCAAGTGCAGGTACGAACCGTAAGAGAGGAAAGGGAGCCGCAGAAGAGGGTGAGGAATCTGCCGAAATAGGCATCAGACACAAAAGCTCCGGCGAGGGTGGAGATGTTGGAGGTGCCGTTCCATATACTCACCACGTTAACCAACTCCACTCCTTCCAGGTTGTATTTCGTGCGCAAGTACACCGTCATGTTCCCTACCAAACTCATCGACGCCAGCTTCTCGAACGCTTCGTTCCCTACAGATCCATTGTATACATAATTCATCAGATATGTATGATCATCGGCCAGGGTAGAGCCGGTCTGGAACCGAGAATGCCTATGATGAAAAGCAATTATACTAGATTTAAACATTAACGTGATGGGCTTCAGCCTAGCATAACGCTTATATAGATCCTCCCGTGGAGCGCAGCTCAGGCGCTCAGCCTCCCAAATACTGTATTGTTTTCTAGTACATGCATATATACATACTATACTACAAAATCTACAATTATGCATAAGCATATTTAGTAGCTTAATTTGACTCCAGCAAAATAATTGGACCAAAACAATTAAACAAAGAAATGGAATTAGTGATGGATCGGAGTAGGTAGCTAGCTAGGGATCGTGCGTATAGCACATACCAAGGATGTACTTGATAGCTCCCCATCCTCCGGCGGCTGAGGATGTTGTAGAGGTGGTGATGATGGTGTTGTGTTCCCCTCCGGCGGCGGCTCCTATATGACCCTGCATCTCCATTTCGGTCTCTCCCATATCATCACTCAGCTCTAACGAACCCATGGATGGATGATCGATCGTCTATCACTCTCATGCATCATGCTCCTTCACATGTACCACTCGCTGTATTTGTAGGCACGCTTATAGGATCCATTTTCTTCAATGCATGACTTGGTCATCACTCATCATCATATCGCCTTCAATGATTACAACCCCCTTAATTATTAGAGTCTTGGAGATAAATATTCTACTAGTATGAGTTAATATTAATTATTTCAATGATTACTTTATTATTTATTGTCTTAATTAGTTATCTTCTCCGCTACTCGTAGCATACTACAGAAATTGTCACATTTTTTGATGATAAACACCTTATATTAGTGGGAGAATTCCTCATATAGAACTAAATGAATCTTTAATTACCAAAATAGGACTGTGACTTCAAAATCTCTAAATAGGATCAACTTTCCAATTCTACCCTTGCTTTGTTTTAGTACAATTCATATTTCATTGAAATATGTAGGTATATGCGCGCTGCCACCTCAACAACCTCCCAACATCACCAGCTTCGATCACCAGAAAAAGTACCAACATGTGTCATAAGTATCTTCATGGCAGTTTTTGAGATTTTTTTTATATTTTTATAAAGTAAGGATGTTTTACTTGGACATTAATCTATACCAGACCAAACTAGACCAGACTTGGATATTTATAAAATTACAAAGAGACCTGACATTACCAGACCAAACCAGCTCAGACCAGATAAGACCAGACCAACATATTACGGTCCAAGTAAAAACATCCTAAAAAGCTATCTTCATGCCATTTTCTGAGGAAAAATGGCAGGTTTTAGCCGATCAGAGGTAACATGGATGAGCAGTGGCCGATACTGTGGGAAATGCCTCCATATTTCTTTTTATAATTTTAAGGCTTTTTATCTATTTTTATTTATATTTTTAAAATTTTATTATTCTAGTATTTTTTAAAAATACTTCAGATTTTTTCTATTTTTACTATTTTTTATAAGGGAAATTTCCCAGGATATGACTAAAACTCATTTAGTTTCTCCAAATATGACTAACTTAGTTTTTATACATTTGTATGACTGAAAATCCCATAAATAACTAAAAATTCGTCCATATTTAAATGTTTAATGACCAAAATATCCTTATTTAAAATATGTGTATTTTGTATTGATTGCATCCAATTAAAATTAATGCACTTTATATTTCCGTTACTGCACGTCGTTACTACACATCCGATAATAATCAATGCACTTCCGCCAAAATTAATTTTCTTATCTACTTTAGATATTTATTTATACTTCTTTATTCTTTATTTTTTACATTTAATAATTTTAGTGCTTTACGTTTAATTAAATATATTGCATTTTATGACGGTGTTAATGCTCCACGTTATTGCACTACTATTCATAATTACTGCACTTCTCGTCAATGCATTATTTCACTGCCCATCTATATCACTATTTATTGTCATGTTCACTGTCCATATTCAACATTTTTTCACCCGTACTCTTCGTAAAGAAGGACGGCACACTAAGAATGTGTATCGACTACCGTCAGTTGAACAAAGTCACGATCAAGAATAGGTATCTGTTACCGAGGATTGATGACTTGTTTGATCAACTTCGAGGGGCAATAGTATTCTCTAGGCATGGCAATGGGTCGGGGCGGGGCGGGTATTGCAAGACCCGGACCCGCCCCGTGACTTGGCGGGGCGGGTCCGCCCCGCCCCGTGACCTGCACGGGTCCAAACTTGTTGACCCATGACCCGCCCCATGTGGGGCGGGGCGGGGCGGGTCCGCCCCGCCGCAACCTAATTAACTAGTTTTTGTTTTTATTTGTAGAAAGTTGTTACCAATTGAATCTACATAATGTTTATCTCTAAATAATAATTAAAACTCAATATATTAAATCAAATTCATGATACGCTAAAAATTTCAAAATTAAGAAAAAATTACTCAAACTTGAATAGTTAATCTAATTAGTTATATTAATAATTGAATAAATGTATTAAAATTCTATATATATAAAGAAGACATTGATAATCCGTCGTGCATTTCATTCTAATATATATTCATATATTATAAGATCAAAGAATTTATGATTTATTGTATACACACATATGTATGTTGAAGTATATTTGTAGTATAAGTTAAGAAAAAGTATGTATATTTATATATTGAGCGGGTCGGGTCGGGTCGGGTCGGGGCGGAACGGGTCAATTCTAATACCTGGACCCGCCCCATTGTATAGGCGGGGCGGGGTGGACCCGCCCCATTTGCAAGACGGGGTGGGGCGGACCCGCCCCAAATGTCTCGGGCCAGGGCGGGTCATTGCGGGTCGGTTTTTTTTGACATCCCTAGTATTCTCAAAGATTGATTTGAGATCGGGATATCATCAGTTGAAGATCAAGGAGAGTGACATACCTAAGAGCGCATTTCGCACTAGGTATGGTCATTACAAGTTCCTTGTGAAGTCATTTGATCTAACTAACGCACCGGCGTCATTCATGGCCTTGATGAACCGCATGTTTAGTGAATACTTGGATCAATTTGTGATTGTATTCATTGATGACATCTTAATATACTCCAAGAATGAGGAGGAGCATGAATACCATTTGGGGCTAGTACTTGAACGATTAAGAGAAATACAACTCTTTGCCAAGTTCTATAAATGTGAATTTTGGCTTAAGGAGATTAGCTTTCTCGGACATGTCATATCAGGTTCGGGCATCGCGGTAGCTGACGCCAAGATAAGGGCCATCATGGATTGGGAGAGACCCAAAAATGTGAAAGAGATACGTATTTTCCTTGGCTTAGCGGGATACTATCATAAGTTTGTTGAAAAATTTTCCGTGTTGGCGTCTCCATTAACGAAGCTCACAAAGAAAGGGGCCAAGTTCGTATGGGACGACAAGTGTGAGGAAGGATTTCTCGAACTAAAGAAACGACTTACCGAAGCACCAGTTCTCGCCCTACCCACTCAAGGGATAAGGGTATGATATATACAACGATGCTAGCATTCAAGGGCTTGGATGTGTACTAATGCAAAATGGTTGGGTGATTGCCTATGCTTCTAGGCAATTGAAGAAACACGAGGCGAATTACCCTACCCATGATCTAGAGTTGGGGGCGATAGTGTTTGCACTGAAGATTTGGAGGCATTATCTCTATGGGGAGACATGTCACATTTTTATCGATCATAAGAGCTTGAAGTATGTATTCACTCAGAAAGAGTTGAATATGAGACAAAGGAGGTGGATGGAGTTGATCAAGGATTATGACTTGATCATCGACTATCATCCCGGAAAAGCCAATGTAGTGGCCGATGCACTGAGCCGGAAGAGTATGTCGGGGACGTTACTCACATGTTTACGAGCATTGAGGACACACATGGAGGTGTCAACGAGTGGTACACTCATTGCTAGATTCGAGGTTAGGCCTACATTGCTGGGGGAGATCAATAGATGTCAGGCCATTGATGAGGAATGTCAGAAGATTCGTGAACGGATCCTTGATGGGCCCTTTGAGAACTTTCGGGTACGTGATGACGGTCTTTTACTGTTTAAAGACCGTGTATGCATACCAAAGAGTGAGGAGCTCCAAAAGTCTATACTAGAGGAGGCTCATTCTTCGGCATATGCTATGCATCCAGGAGGTATTAAGATGTACCGAGACTTGAAGGAAAGTTACTCGTGGTCGAGCATGAAGAGGGACATCGCTGAGTACGTGAGCCGATGCCTTACTTGCCAACAAGTTAAGGCGGAGCATCAGCACCCGGCGGGACTTTTGCAGCCACTTACCATTCCGGAATGGAAGTGGGAGCATGTGACCATGGATTTCGTGGTGGGGCTACCACGAACAGTGAACAACTATGATGCAGTATGGGTAGTGGTTGATAGGCTTACCAAGAGTGCACACTTTTTGCCTATCAACATTACTTATCCTCTTGAAAGATTGGCCAAGCTATACACGGAGGAGATTGTGAGATTACATGGAGTTTCGATATCCATTGTTTCGGATAGGGATCCACGGTTCACGTCCCGATTTTGGCCAAAGTTTCAAGCATCTTTGGGTACTAAACTGAATTTTAGCACAACTTTTCACCCACAGACGGATGGACAGTCCGAGCGGGTGATACTGATTTTGGAAGATATGCTTAGGGCATGTGCTCTGGAGTTCCAAGGAAGTTGGGACAAACATTTGGCCCTAGTAGAGTTTGCCTATAACAACAATTATCAGGCGAGTATTGGCATGCCTCCATATGAGGCATTGTATGGGAGGAAACGTAGGACACCGTTATGTTGGGATGAGGTTGGCAAGGCCAAGCTCGAAGGAATTGAACTTGTCGAGATCACCAAGGCTAAGGTGAAGATAATTCAGGATAGACTCAAGACTGCCCAAGACCGGCAGAAGAGCTATGCCGACAGACGACGAAGGCCATTGGAGTTCAAAGTCGGTGATAAAGTCTTCCTAAAGATTTCTCCTTGGAAAAACCTTCATCCGATTTATATCGAGGGGAAAATTCAACCCCCGATACATTGGTCCGTTTGAAATCCTTGAAAGGACAGGGGTCGTGGCTTACCGTCTTAAGTTCACACCAGAACTTGAGAGGATACATGACGTGTTTCATGTATCAGTGCTCAAGAAATACGTACGAGATCCGTCTCATATCCTTGAGAAACCACCGGTAAGATACATGAAGATCTACATTATGCAGTGGAACCGGTGAAGATTGTGGGGCAACAAGTGAAGAAATTGAGGAACAAGGAGATTCCTATGGTGAAGGTTCTTTGGAGGAGTGATCCAGTCGAAGAAGAAACCTGGGAGACCAAGGTCTCAATGAGGGAGCAATACCCGTTTCTTTTCGATTAGGCACGTGGATTTCGGGGACGAAATCCCAAATAAGAGGGGGTGAACTTGTAACACCGTCCCCAAATATATTTACTTTTAAGTGAATAATGTATTGAACCTTACGGAATGGTTAATGAATTTACGAAGTTGTGAATTTTTATTAATGCTTTTGCGTGAATAGTAAATTTGCACGTGGGGCCCACACCGGGAGCGGGGACCGCCCGATATTCCCGAGACCATATATTTTATTCATATTGGTCTAGATAATATTTATATGGTGATGGATATTTCATTTGGGTCATGGAAGAGCCCAGAGTTGACCGA